CTTTTTGTTTTGATGTGGCATTTTGACAAGCACATCCAATTTGATTCTCAGTTGCCTCGACTCAAGGTGACAGCGTCGTATATGGCGGCTAAGGACAAGATGGTTGTTATAAATACAGTTTGCATTTGGGCTGATGGGCGGCCCTGCTCGAGCGGACACGCTGATAGAATAGACAGCATATGGACACGTTCCAATTTCAACACCTGTCACAGTCAATTTCCAGAGGGCCTCATTATTATGCAGGCAGGAGAATGTCATCATTGAGGCTAACGAAGCGGAAGGAGAGCGCTGATTTGATGCGAACGCCGAACAAACGTTCGATATGATTGGCAGAAGTCTTCATTGGCAATGCTAATTGTACAGTATGTGTGACGATCCATAAAAGGGACTATTGAGCTGTGAGGCAAGTGTGCAATGACAAGACTGATCTGCAATCTTTATGCTCACTGTTCACAATATTCGGTACAATCTCGTGAGAATTCAGTCGGCACTCTCTAAAAAAAAAAAAAAAAAGTAACTTAATTTATGCTGGTATCAAAATATTTGTCCTCTGTAGATTTAATATACTGTTGTGTTATTTTGAGTTTCTGACTTGTTTATGTTCTTCTGTCACATTTAAATAATTGACCTCAAACGACACTTATTTATTCATTTAAATAAAATTTTATGATTTAAATAACAAGCAAAGTAGCATTTTTTGAGCAAGAATTGATTATGAGCACCACTTTAACGGCGACATAACACTTTGGTGTTCGACCCCGGTCGCCCGAATGTTTACACTCAAGCGCCTTCCATGAGCGCTGATTTGATGCGAACGCCGAACAAACGTTCGATATGATTGGCAGAAGTCTTCATTGGCAATGCTGATTGTACAGTATGTGTGACGATCGATAAAAGGGACTATTGAGCTGTGAGGCAAGTGTGTAATGAGAAGACTGATCTGCAATCTTTATGCTCACCGTTCACAATATTCGGTACAATCTCATGAGAACTCAGTAGGTACTCTCTAAAAAAAAAAAAAAAAAAAGTAACTTAATTTATGCTGGTGTCAAAATATTTGTCCTCTGTAGATTTAATATACTGTAATGTTATTTTGAGTTTCTGACTTGTTTATGTTCTTCTGTCACATTTACATAATTGACCTCAAACGACACTTATTTATTCATTCAAAAAAAATTTCTTATTTAAATAACAAGGAAAGTAGCATTTGTTGAGCAAGAATTGATTATGAGCACCACTTTAACGGCGACATAACACTTTGGTGTTCGACCCCGGCGACATAACACTTTCGTGTTCGACCCCGGTCGCCCGAATGTTTACACTCAAGCGCCTTCCATCAGGCAAATAATTGCCCGCGAATGCTTCAATCACCTCACCTACGACCCACCAAGATGATTTCTTCTGTGCAGCACAAATAGGTTGCTTTCTTCAAGCTCAGCGGTGCGTAGACCGTACAGCGGGGATATCTGAGAAGGCACTTTTCAATTGCCAAGACGTATTGATGTCATTGCTGTTTCACGGTTTGTGTGATAAAAGAATTACGCAACCACGAGTGAACCGATTTGTGCCAAGAAAGAAAACCCGTTACATGTTGCTGCAAATCTGAAAAATAATGCAGAGGGAATATATTTTTGGGCTGACAACTACCGGTACCGTATTTTCCGCACTATAAGGCGCTTCGGAGTATAAGGCACACCTTCAATCAATGACCTATTTGAAAACAGTTTTCATATGTAGGGCAGACCGCATTTTAAGGCGCATAGAAGAGAAGAGACAATAGTTGCTGAGGTTGCGTTGTGCATCCACTAGATGGAGCGACGCTAAAGGGAATACAATACAATACGGCTTTATTTATATAGCGCTTTCACAATCGCTGCAGCTGTAACAAAACGCTTTATAGAACATTTAAATTGCTTCAATCACCTCACCTACGACCCACCAAGATGATTTCTTCTGTGCAGCACAAATAGGTTGCTTTCTTCAAGCTCAGCGGTGCGTAGACCGTACAGCGGGGATATCTGAGAAGGCACTTTTCAATTGCCAAGACGTATTGATGTCATTGCTGTTTCACGGTTTGTGTGATAAAAGAATTACGCAACCACGAGTGAACCGATTTGTGCCAAGAAAGAAAACCCGTTACATGTTGCTGCAAATCTGAAAAATAATGCAGAGGGAATATATTGTTGGGCTGACAACTACCGGTACCGTATTTTCATCACTATAAGGCGCTTCGGCGTATCAGGCACACCTTCAATCAATGACCTATTTGAAAACAGTTTTCATATGTAGGGCAGACCGCATTTTAAGGCGCATAGAAGAGAAGAGACAATCGTTGCTGAGGTTGCGTTGTGCATCCACTAGATGGAGCTACGCTAAAGGGAATACAATACAATACGGCTTTATTTATATAGCGCTTTCACAACTGCTGCAGCTCCAACAAAACGTTTTACACAATGTTTAAAATGCTACGTCCAAGAAATCAGAATATTGATCCATATGTAAAGCGCATCGGATGATAAGGCGCACTGTCGGCTTTTGAGAAAATTGAAGCGCCGGCTGTTCTCACTTGGTCTATAAAGGCTTTTTTAAGGAATTGTGCCAGTGAGCTATCCGTGTGTACCATCTGTTCATCTCGTCCAAGATTTTAACCACTTTGGCCACCGTGACCTCCTTAGAAGTAAAGAAACAAAATCCACAAAATCTGCCAAAAACAAACGATTTTGGCCCTACCGATACTTTTCTAGCTGTGAAGGAAAACATATTGAACTTGTGTCCCACGATACTTTGATACTTGCCAAAAATGGATCCATAAATGACCTATTTGAAAACAGTTTTCATATGTAGGGCAGACCGCATTTTAAGGCGCATAGAAGAGAAGAGACAATCGTTGCTGAGGTTGCGTTGTGCATCCACTAGATGGAGCTACGCTAAAGGGAATACAATACAATACGGCTTTATTTATATAGCGCTTTCACAATCGCTGCAGCTGTAACAAAACGCTTTATAGAACATTTAAATTGCTACATCCAAGAAATCAGAATATTGATCCATATGTAAGCCGCACTGTCTGCTTTTGAGAAAATTGAAGCGCCGGCTGTTCTCACTTGGTCTATAAAGGCTTTTTTAAGGAATTGTGCCAGTGAGCTATCCGTGTGTACCATCTGTTCATCTCGTCCAAGATTTTAACCACTTTGGCCACCGTGACCTCCTTAGAAGTAAAGAAACAAAATCTGCCAAAAACAAACGATTTTGGCCCTACCGATACTTTTCCAGCTTCTCCAGCTGTGAAGGAAAACATATTGAACTCGTGTCCCACGATACTTGCTAAAAATGGATCCATGATGTGAGTGTTATTTCCCCGGTGTTGTCTTTGCCCCATATTCCTAATTATGCAATCGCATCCCCAAACCGTGCGGTACTTCCTGCCTCCCCAATGTGAACCTTCTGACTTCTATGTGGGCCAGCAAATTAGATCAAGCCTGAAATAAACCTCACACAATTAAAATGGCGGACTCTGTCCAAATATACACGAGGCAAGCAGACCAAGATGTGTTTCACGTACACTAAATTCCACACAGTATGCCCAATTCTCAACGATCAAATAATTCATTACAATGCCCACCCCGACCGAGCTAGAACTACTGTAAATCGTGTAGACTAATAAATGCCCGGATCGTAGATGTTTCGTTGAACCGAAAGGGAAGTGGGGAATTTAAATAGGAAATGTGTTTTTCTCTCATGACCTACTGAAGTTTGACTGTTTGTTTATTTTTTTTTTGTCATTGCCACAATGGAGCATGTGGATTAATATTCGAACGGAATCGACAACTTCCCTTTTTTGGCTATCACAATTTCCTGCAGTCGGAAGTGATGATGGAGGATGTTCGGCACCTCAAGGGAGCGTGGACTAGAATAGACATGAAGGAGTTCAATTCTCCGTTGCGTCAAAATTTGGAGCACAAAGATAAAAAAAAACCAAAACAAAAAAAAAAAAAGGAAGTTCCACAGAGTGAAAGCCAGAAGGGCATTTGATGTGATGATAAAGGAAATTAACAAGCCAGTAAAGGAATGTGGGATGAAAGTGATGGAACATGAAAGTGTGTTAGGTGAAGCGTTCCACATGCAAAAGCTTTATTGGAGGAACTATATAGGAGCGGGAGGACCATGAGTGTATAATATATGTCAGATGAAGGATGCTTCCCAAAGCCGTTCAACCCGCAAGTGGGCAATTTATATCATGACGCAACAGGCTGCTAATCCTCTACTTATGTAAACACTTGACTGCTATTCAAATGAAATGCGGATGGGAAGGAGAGAGCGAGCGCCTTTCGCCAGAAGACAAAGAATGTCTGAGGGGAGACGATGCGCTCTCGTTTTTTTTTTGGGGGGGAGCGATTATTGCCACAGAGTCCTTTGCTCTGTGGCCCGAGGTGCAATTGGCAGGGGAACGTTGCGGATGCCAAACAAAGCCGAAATGACCTCATTGCATTGGATGTAAGCGGGAAAGGGAGGAGGGCGAGGGAGGAAGGATGCAGTAAAAGGTTGTCATAAACAACCGTAATGAGGAAAACATTCTGCACCAGTCGGGAAAAAACAGGCAGATCTATCATATTTGTTGGAATTAGATCAGGGCAAGGTTATTGCATTCTTCCGTATGAATGTGTTTACTCCAATATCACAATGCAGGAAATATTGAAGAACAACTACGAGGCTGAAGCTTTTTGTCACCTGCAAAAATCAATGACTGAATTTTGACCGTCTTGAATTTTATTAATAGCTAAACGGGTGTGTTGAAATGCCTTGGCTGACATTTTTTTCCTCCGCGTCAAAGTCAACGTTCTTTGCGGGTTTGCATGTTGCTCAAAAATAAACGGCGACAGACGTAACCTCCTTCGCGTCGGCAATACCATTTGGATTAGAATTCTTTTCAAATTAAGTCATTATGTATATCCCCCCCCCTTATATCATGTATGTGCTTTTTGTCTCTATTGTGCCCACAGAGCTGAGATCCTGAGCATGAAGACAAACTGTGACTCCCCTCACCGCAGCCTAAAAAGAGATGGCATAACCCGGGTGACCTGCTAATCAACCATGACAGCCCTAAAGCTTTGACTGGCATTAGAAGTCCCCCACCCCTCCCCACCCCTTCTTCTATACCCGACACGGACCCTCCTCCTCTGCCACGCTTCCTTCCCAGACACCTTTTGCGACGTTCTTTTCTCCGACAAACACGCCCCGTTGTTTTTGCGCCTGCCCTTGCATTTCTCCACTTGATTACACTTCACGTCCCCGCTTTCGTCTCCATCATGCAGAGTTTTTCCACCGCCTCGGGTTTGGTTGTGATTCTCTCCTCCCTCCTAATTGCCACCCGCTTTCCCGGCGTGGTCAACGGGGACTGCTGGCTCATTGAAGGGGACAAAGGTTATGTGTGGCTGGCTATCTGTAGTCAGAACCAGCCGCCGTATGAGACGATTCCGCAGCACATCAACAACACCGTTCATGACTTGAGACTCAATGAGAACAAGCTGAAAGCGGTGCACTTAAACTCCATGTACCGTTTTACCAACCTCACGGACCTTAACCTCACCAAGAATGAAATCAGCTACATCGAAGACGGAGCCTTTTCGGGGCAAGCCAACCTACAGGTGATCGGGCACACCGAAATATGGTCACGCGTTTGGGCGTTTATTGATGATTTTTCTTTTTGTTTCGTAGGTTCTTCAACTGGGCTACAACAAGCTGACCAACCTAACGGAGGGGATGATGAGGGGACTCGGCCGCATGCAGTGTCTTTTCCTCCAGCACAACCTCATTGAGGTTATTGCCAGCAATGCATTCTGGGAGTGCCCTGGCCTTAGCAGCATTGATCTGTCATCCAACAAACTCGCCCGGATTGATCCGTCGACGTTCACTGTTCTCAATCGCCTCATGGTTTGTGAACTGGCCGCAAATCCGTTCCATTGCGGCTGCGATCTTTACAGCTTCCTTACCTGGCTGGAATCCTTCAACAACGTAACACACACCTACGATCGTCTCCAGTGCGAGACGCCGCGGGAGATGTTTGGCTTTCCTTTACTGAGCCCCGTCGCTGCCGGTCACGCCGGTCGAAACGCCAAAAACATCTTGCACTCTCACTGCAGAGATGGAGTGATGATTCCTGGAATGACGTCCCTCCCGCCAGACCTGGACGGCCCGTCCGGAATCGGTCCGGAGATGTTTGGCGGCGCGGGACCTTACCACCAGCCCAACACCTCCACATCCACAGAAAACAGTTTCATTCCCAGCATCAAGCTCCATCAGGTGTCCTTGTCCTCGGCTTCTCTCCTCGTACAGATCCCGAGGCCCTTCAGCAAAATGTACATCCTGACACAGTACAACCACACGTACGTGTCCGACGTTATGACTCTAAAGAACAAGAAGGAGATGATCACCCTTAACAAGCTCAAACCGCACACCAATTACACCTTCTGCGTGGCGTCCATCCGTAACTCCCAACGGTATAACCACACGTGCCTCCAATTTGCCACGCGCTCTCAAAACGCGAGCAACATCCTCCCCACGCCGTCAACCACCACGCATTACATCATGACCATCGTGGGTTGCCTATTTGGCATGCTCATCGTTTTGGGCTTGGTCTACTACTGTTTACGGAAGAAACGCATGCGTGATGAGAAAAAGAAGTCCGTATGCGTGAAGAAAACAATACTGGAAATGCGTTACGGGCCCGAGGTGGCGGCAGCAGTTGCCAAAGATCCGGCGGCGGTGCATAAGCTTCAGGAGCACTCCAGGGAACACCACCAATATCACCACCACCACGGGGGCAAGCTTCCCATGTCGACATCCTCGAGTTCTGGAATGCTCCACTCAGCAAACACCAGTTCCTCAAGACTTTCCTCGATTCCCCAAGTTGAAAAAATGTCCACTGCCTTCTCAGAGGCCGTGACGGGAAAAGGAAATTACATGGATATCAGAAGTGGAGGGGCGGGGATGGAGAGGCACGGAGGAGAGAGCGGGCACGGGGGCATGAGGGGGGAGGATTTAAGGGACGACGATGGCACCGATGTCGGGGATGACTCCGATGACGACGGACACGGCTCCGCGTCAGAGATCTCGACGATCGCCATGGAGGTGGACAAAGTCAACCAGATTATAAATAATTGCATCGACGCGCTGAAGCTGGACGCGGCGGCCGTCGCGGCTTCGGGCTCGTCTTCCAATCCCGCACCGTCCGCCAACCCGACCTCCCCGCCCCCAAACGGCACCTCTGCTCTGACTCGTGGTTTGATCACACTTTCTCAAGGGATGACTGAATCATGCCAAGTCAACAAAATTCCACCTCCGCCCCCTCTGCCGCTGCCGGCGTTGAATACCCCACTTGCCGAGCGCCCGGGGATCAGCGGCGGTGGATTCGTTGTTTCCCCCCCCTACAGGCCGCCTCCGCCAGCCAATGCCGTACGCCCCATTCAGCGGCAAATGAGCGCAGATGCGGCCGTGGTGATTGTAAATTCCGTCAAGAAACAGAGCAGCACCGCCTCTTGTGGATCTGCGGGACGGGAAAGGGAGCGCGGAGGGGCTCGTGTCTATAGCCTGGATGTTCCCGAGCCGAGGAGTCCGGACGCCTGCAACCAACAACAACAACAGTACCAAGATCGCGCCAGTCCTGTGGGCTGCGGGGAACCCCTGGAAAGACTGCCGTTGGTGGGGAGTATGAGCTGCGCGGGAGTGGGTGGCGGTGGTTGCGACAGTGGTGGTGTTGGTGTCCAACATCAAGAAAACCAAAATCCACATCATTACCATCATCAACAACAACAGCAGCAGCAGCAGTTGGAGGTGCAGCAAGACTACCACTGCTCAGAGCACCGCCACTCCGTCCCAGCTCTTTATTATGACGGCTCCCATCAGGGTTCCCCGGCCCAGAGGGTTTCCTTCCTGAAGCCACTGTCCCGCTCCCGCAAGGATGCGGCGTCCTACTCGCAGCTTTCACCAGCTCGCCACCATTCCAGTTACTCTGGCTACTCCTCCAGTCCGGAGTACTCCTCAGAGAGCACGTTGAGGATCTGGGAGCGCTTTCGTCCCTACCGTAAAGGCCAACGCGACGAGGCCTGTTATGTCACGGCCGGCAACGCCCTTCGAAAAAAGGTGCAGTTCGCCAAAGGCGAGGACCTCCACGACATCCTGGATTACTGGAAGGGCGTGTCAGCGCAGCAGAAGCTTTGACTGGGGGACCACCGGAATTAAGCATTGGGAGGAAAAGAGTTTGTTTACATCTGGGTCTGCAGTGCCCTTTCTGGGATGGCAGAAACTTCTGGAAGGGAAGAAACACATTGGACGCAGTTAGGCCTTTTATTTTTATTTTTTGGCATGCTCAAGTGTATAGAGTGTTGTGCGTCAGCACGAACAGTGCAACTGTGCCTGGGATACCTGGAATAATAACTCACTCCGTTTTTTTTTTTGTTTTTTTTTTTTTTTAATTTTACACTTCATGGTAGCATCGTTTTTGGATGATCCTAACTGCAGATTTGGTTTCTCTGCACAGGGAGCCAAAGCGAACCGTGCAGTCTCGTAATATTTGCGCGGCCACATTTTGTGATCTTTTTCGACAGTACTTACTCAGTGCCATGTTATTAGTCTTTGGGAACCCGCCTAGAGGCGAATATGATATCGTGTTGATCCGAGGGAAGGTTTTGATGGTGATCACGTTTGATGGAGTCAAATGATGGCTTACCGCGAGATAACAGATGGGGCAGATGTATTTACATGATAACAGCGGGATCCACACAAGAAAAATAACCGCCAGTGTAAAGTGGAACCTCCATCAAGCGTCACCACAGATGAAATCATTGCCAGAAATGTGGCGCTTCACCACAACCTTTTTTTTTCCAATTTCAAAAAATTGTATGCTCCAATAAATGGCGCAATAAGATCCCATCTTAGGTTTTAGTGCGAACGAATGTGACGGACGTCCGGATGATATCATGACGTCATCGCTTAAGGAAGACCAAGTTAAGTTCTAAACACATTCCAAATCCATTGCAAAAGTAGTATGACCTCCGTTTCAACGTATGACCAACATTTCTTTTTAGTTGTAGTTATTTTGTTTCTTTTTTTTTTTAAATTTGGCAGGCATGTTCGCTTGCTTTTTTTTTTTTTTTTTTTTTTAAATTTGGCAGGCATGTTCGCTTGACCAAGTATGCGCGTGCGTGCGCGTGTGTGTTTGAGTGCACGCATGTGCATGTGTGTCGTACACAGTGGTCGGTGTAAGCGGGTGTCGGCATGCTTTGTCAGAATTTATCGGCGATGCCGAAATGGATTTGAATGAATACTCGTGATTTCATGAAATATTTGCCGATGTATGATTCCTTCCACATCACGACAGACACGGGTGAATGCACAAACAACGGCGGTATTACTCCTCGTTATTTTCCAGAAAACACATCACGACTTGTAATTATTCTCACGTAGCCCAGTGCCTCCTGCGACGACACAGCCATGATCTTGTTGTCGTACCGAAAGTATTTTTCTTCCCTTGGCCTTGGCTGCCTACCTAAACTGCTGTGAATCTTTTACATGTATTATTATTATTTTTCCTTACCCTCCAATGTGAAAACTCAAGTGATCCTTGCCTCGCATTTGTATTGAGGGCTACGCTGAAAACGAAAGATGTTAGAGAGGCATTTCTAAATTCAGGTCTTTCTAGACAAATCTAATCAACGCGTGACATTCATGGCACTTCCCCGCTTACCACATGTTGATTGTAAGTCGGAGTTAGGAGGTACGCTTGGCATAGCTTTAACCGTGAGCAGACGTGTAAAGCTTTCTGTGTACAGTATCTCCGTTTGGTTCTCGATTTGGTCAAAATTTCTTCTTGAATGTTTTCAACCACGCCCGCTTTAGCGCATCACGGCAAATGTTCACACTCTTGATCTACGACAGGGGTGTCAAACTCATTTATGGCGCGGGCCACATTTTTAGTTACCGTTTAACTTGGAGGGCCGATATGACTGAAACCATATGAAGAAGTCAAGAATAACTGTTGATTCAACTCTTGTTTGAGTTACGATCTTGAGGGGGTTGGTAACAAGAAAATGCTTTGAATATTTCTACTCTTATTTGTTACATATGAGAATTTGAAATTTTGGTAGACATTTTAGAAAAGTGTATGGAAGTTGACATGTTTGAGCTGCCTTCGCGGGCCACATAAAATGATGTGGAGGGCCAGTTTTGGCCCCCGGGCCTTGAGTTTGACACCGGTGATCTACAATGTGGGAAAAAAAAAAGTTACTGTGATTTCAAAACAATGTTTCATCAATTGAGAGATGTGTTTGACTGCCCTCCCGCCCCCCAAAAAAACTTTAAAGGAGTAGACTGATTTTATTTGAGCGGCCAATCAAACACGTCACATGTTGCTGAGGTTACTTGAATGACTTTTCTGTTTGAATCAAAATGTGAAATTCGCATCACGACGGAACGGGTTTGTCCACCGCTAAACTGTGAAACGTGTTTTCCCGCGCAATGACTTCCACAATCAAAGAATTGACCGAGCGACGCAGCTTATTCATTTGTCACGATGTTGAAAGCCTGCGATGAAAACCGGCGCTTTCGCTCACCTGAGGCTTCGGAGAGCGTCAGCAAATATCGTGTTTTTCATCATCGAAATCCCGGCGTCAATCGCGGAAATGAATTCCGTAGTACAAGCACACGGAATTTATATTTAACCCTTTCAGGCACCTTTAACCTGATAAGCTGTCCACTGTCGTAACCACTGTCCCTCGAAGGGTGAAATATAGGCCGTTCATCCACGTTCATTCGCACCCAGTCAAGCTCAAATGATCTACAATGTGGGAAAAAAAAAAGTTACTGTGATTTCAAAACAATGTTTCATCAATTGAGAGATGTGTTTGACTGCCTCCCGCCCCCCAAAAAAACTTTAAAGGAGTAGACTGATTTTATTTGAGCGGCCAATCAAACACGTCACATGTTGCTGAGGTTACTTGAATGACTTTTCTGTTTGAATCAAAATGTGAAATTCGCATCACGACGGAACGGGTTTGTCCACCGCTAAACTGTGAAACGTGTTTTCCCGCGCAATGACTTCCACAATCAAAGAATTGACCGAGCGACGCAGCTTATTCATTTGTCACGATGTTGAAAGCCTGCGATGAAAACCGGCGCTTTCGCTCACCTGAGGCTTCGGAGAGCGTCAGCAAATATCGTGTTTTTCATCATCGAAATCCCGGCGTCAATCGCGGAAATGAATTCCGTAGTACAAGCACACGGAATTTATATTTAACCCTTTCAGGCACCTTTAACCTGATAAGCTGTCCACTGTCGTAACCACTGTCCCTCGAAGGGTGAAATATAGGCCGTTCATCCACGTTCATTCGCACCCAGTCAAGCTCAAATTGAAAATTTTCTTTGGCTAATTCATTTTTGGATGTCTTGGATTTAAAGGCAATGAAATGACAGAAAATATGAGCCGTTCTTGTGCAATCACTTTTAAAATGACAAGACTGAAATTATTTATGACTCGTGGTACTGTTGAGGTTAATCGTAAGAGCACAAACAGACATTTGAAGGAATCTCAAAGCAATGTGTTTTATTGAATCTCTAAAGCTGATCAACGAAAAAACAAGATTACAAAAAAAAAACCCAAAAACCAAACACTTGTTGGGTGCACTGGAATCTGTTTTATTGTTGTTGTTTTTGTTTTTGCCTTCCGATACCGTCTCAACTCCTCGAACTGTGGCAAGCGAGTCAAAACGAGTCACATTTACTCAACAAACGCTTATTCATTTGTCACGATGTTGAAAGCCTGCGATTCTTATGCATGAAAACGGGCGCTTTTGCTCACCTGAGGCTTCGGAGAGCGTCAAGCAAATATCGTGTTTTTCATCATTGAAATCCCGGCGTCAATCGTGGAAATGAATCGCGTAGTACAAGCACACAGAATTTATATTTAACCCTTTCAGGCACCTTGAACCTGATAAGCTGTCCACTGTAGTAAGCACTGTCCCTCGAAGGGTTAAATATAGGCCGTTCATCCACGTTCATTCGCACCCAGTCAAGCTCAAATTGAAAATTTTCTTTGGCTAATTCATTTTTGGATGTCTTGGATTTAAAGGCAATGAAATGACAGAAAATATGAGCCGTTCTTGTGCAATCACTTTTAAAATGACAAGACTGAAATTATTTATGACTCGTGGTACTGTTGAGGTTAATCGTAAGAGCACAAACAGACATTTGAAGGAATCTCAAAGCAATGCGTTTTATTTAATCTCTAAAGCTGATCAACGAAGACAAGATTACAAAAAAAAAAACAAACAAACACTTGTTGGGTGCACTGGAGTCTGTTTTATTGTTGTTGTTTTTGCCTTCCTATACCGTCCCCACTCCTCAAATGTGGCAAGCGAGTCAAAACGAGTCACATTCACTCAACAAAGAGCAGTATTTTATTGAAAGGCAATTCTATGGAGGAAGGTCTTCCGAAAGAAGAGAGCAATGGGAGGAGGTCTTCGCCACCATGCAGGCGCACAAATGGGTAATAGAATGTGGAATTCAGACTTGATGATCTCACGCTGACCCTGTTAGATTTTTTTTTTTTTTGAGGAGAGGCAACGATGCGTTCGAGTGCACATATAAGCTCAGTCCAGCCGGCTGACGCTGCTTTAAATGAATAAAAAGCAGCCCAGCTTGAAAGCCCGAAAGAAGCTTTTACTGTGTTTTTTTTTTTCCTTGGAGACGGATATTAATTAGACCTGACGGGAAGTGATTTCATCTCCCATCCGTTTGTTGACTTTTTATTGAACTATCTATTAAGGGCGGATAGTTTAATGCATTCCAGTCAAATGCAAATCTTTTTTTTTTTTTTTTGCTGCATTGCTCTGAAGTTGGATCTCGAAGTTCAGGCAAATGGCTTGACTGATTTCTTGGCCACTTGTCACACTTGACAGTGAAAACACTTCCCACGCGTCCCTCCTAATTTGCCAAGCGCTTCGTGGCTGGGAAGAAAACAAATGGTTGAATTGAACAGGCTTCTTTCGTATTCCGGGTGCCATATGGACGGATAATTTACAGTACGCGAATGTCAGACATTATCAACGCCTCAAATGTGTTTCTACTGTTCAACTTACAGCGATAGTTTTCGGAGCAGAAGAGCATTTAAATTCCACGCAGGCCCAATTTAAGTAAGATTGATCATAGAACTGCCCCATGCCAAATGTTTTTTTTGTTTTTTTTCGGTATTTAAAAAGAGACTGGTTTACTCTTTCATAAAGATATCCATGTACAGTATTTGTATTTCGGGTTTGGTTTCCGAAGAAGGACACAAGGACTTAAAGGAGCTGTGAAATATGTTAATTTTACACACACACACACACACACACACACACACACACACACACACACACACACACACACACACACACAAAAAAAAAAAAAAAAATACTTCTAT